CGGCGGATACTGGGGTACCGGAGGCTGGCGGTACCAGTGAGGATTCCAAGTGATCATCACGGGGACATAGAGCGGGCGCCCATGTCCATCTCTTCCTACTGGGTACCAGGCGAATCCGACTGGGTAGGTCGGGTAGGTGCCGTAGGCCGGGTACGTGGGGTATCCAGGAATCTGAGGAACGTACTCAGCGTAGGTGGCCAGGTGCGCCTGGTCATCCAAATTTGGAACAGAGAGCTGAGGGTACTGATTCTGGATAGTGAAACTGTTGGGAGCACGGCAGTCGTAGGAGACCTGCAGCTTCCATCCCCTTTTCACCTGGAGGACTTGCGCTCCGTTGGGGGCGATGGTCGGAGTGATCAGGCCATCCTTCACGTGCCTGGCGATGAACTCCCGCAGAGCGGCCATCTCGGACTCGGAGAGCGAGTACACGTGCCCGCTGGGAATGCTGTGAGCTCCAGGGATCATCTCGATGTTGGGGTCCACCAGGCGGTGATCCGGGTAGACGTTCTCATCCACTGGAGTGTACACGTTCTGCACGTAGTAGTACCTCACAGGCTGGTAAACTCTGAATCCCTCGATCGAGTAGAAGAAGGGCGGCTGTGCTGGTGGGAGGAAGGCTGGGATGGGGGTGTACACCCGGCAGTGGTATCGGCAGTATTCGGAGTCGAAGATGATCGATCGGGTGCTCCAGGTGATGTTGGGGTCGTGTGTGCTCAGCCAGCGCACCCCCAGGACGATGGGGAAGAACGGAGACTGAGTCACATCCAGGGACAGCACTTCCCGGTGATTCCCCAGGTCGACGATCAGCTCGTGTGTCTCGTGGACAACGGGGCCCGATGCTATGGGGCGGCCATCGATCGCTTCCACAAGGATTGGCCAGTCCTTGATCCTCAGAGGAATGGCGTGTCGCGCGACGTACTCGTGATCGATGAAGTTGCCAGAGGCGCCAGAGTCGATCATGGCTCGGACGATCAGGGTGTGTCTGCCCGGGATGTGAATCTGGAGCATCACTTGCAGGTGAGATGAAGCATCATCTGGTGGGGACCTTATGATTTCCGGCCCGGTCGCTGAAGGTCCCTCTACAGCGGGGCCGGGGAGTTTCCCGCCGGCGAAGCCTTGGAGGCCTTGGCAGGACAGTTGTCAGCGTAGTGGCCTCCATTCCCACAGTAGAGGCACAGGTTCAGCTTGCGGCGTCTTTCTTTCTCTTCCTGGGTC